AAAAACAGTGAACAAATTCTGTAGTTAACACCCCCCCCCCCCCCCCATTCTGCTGTTTAATGGCTGTGCCAGAAGATGGAGTCTGAGTAGGGGGTAGGGGGAAACTGACTGGCGTACCTTCTGCCAGCACCGAGAGGGGGTACACTGGAATCCAGAGGGTGTGGTGGGCCCACAGCATGTTCCAGGAAGGGGTGCTAATGAGCGACAGGAGCCCGTGGGGATATCTGGACAGGGCGCAGAACCATGTTCGTGTTGAGAGGGGGGCCGGGAGCTCAGCACTGATGTAACCCAACTGCTGTACGAACAAACTTAACAGGCATTGGGGGGACATTGGAAGTACCTCCAAGGGCCATTATCGATAATCAACTATTATGAAAACTTGAGCAAGCCCCCTCCCCCCCCCGCCTGAAGAGAACCCTCCTCGGCTCCAAGTTGTAAAAAATGTACCCCCATCCCCCACAGCACATGCCCCTGAAAAACTCTCAGCAGTGAAACATAATATGACATATCAAGCAGATTATCATACATTCTCCTCGCCTGTAGGATCACACACACCACTTGAGGACAGGAAAGCCAAATTACAGCAACGTACCGTAGTAAACCGAGAATATTCCACAGGTAGAACAAGGCACAGACTATGGGTTTACTCTGAATGTTTTCTTGGGTGGCAATCACCACAAACAGGAAAATCCTCTCTGTAACCTGCGAAAAGACACACACGCACCCACACACACAAAAAAACATGTTTTCCTGCTGCCGAAGTGAGAAACATATCATTGCACCAAATGCTATATTAGGTTCTTCTGCACAGCGTGTGTGGGCCTTGTAACGCGACATTCTAAAACGCTTAATGTGAAAAAGCTTAATGTGGTTTAATGTACCAAAATAGCGACCAATGATCACCAAACTTCTCATACATATATCTGGTCATAAACACTTTCACCTGACAAAATATCAAAACCGTAATACAAGGAATATGGACTTTAAATCACATTAAGCCTTTTCCTTATAATGGGCGGCAATGGAGGGGAAAACGCTTAACGTAAAATAAAGTCCATATTCCTTGTATTTCGGTTTTGATATTTTGTCAGGTGAAAGTGTTTATGACCAGATATATGTGTGAGAAGTTTGGTGATTTTTGGTGGCTGTTTTAGTACTTTAAGTTACATTATTTTCCTTATAATGGGCGTCAATGGAGGGGAAAACGCTTAACGTAGTATAAAGTCCATATTCTTAGCATTTAGGTTTAGATTTTTGTCAGGTGAAAGTATTTATGACCAGGTGTGTGTGTGCGAAATTTGGTGATTATTGATCGCTATTTTGGTACATTAAACCACATTAAGCTTTTTCACATTAAGCGTTTTAGAATGTCCCCTTGTAACTTAAAGCTACTTCCGAAATTATTTAAGCATGATAAATAAACAACGAAGTTATCATCAAGTGCTTTTTCCAACCCTGTTAAACCTGCTATAAAGGGCAGCTGCTACCATTATCGGCTGCTGGCGGAGCGCGGGGGGCACGTACTTGCACGAAGCGAGGCAGGAGCGCTCCCTTCTCTATCCCGTCCGCGATGTGGAAGAGCTCCAGCACCGACAGCAGCTGACAGAGGCTCATGGCCACACCGACCGAGTAGAAGGTATCGGCCAGGGCGTCTAAGAGAGGGGCAGATTTCAGCAGGGATCCGTCACGTCCCCATCAGAAATAGCCAAGGATCAGTCAAGTACTGACGTATGCAAACATGTGGAATAACATGCAACTGCATAAAAACTAATTTAAGTATTTTTAATGATCGGCATTTTGATGGATTTCTCCTAGCCAAACTCCAGCTACATGAACTTAACGGTACAACTTTGGGTTGAGCGTTGGGGGTTTGTGGTTTCCGCCCATTTAAGGGGGTCCAGGAGGTTGCATTAGCTGGTTTCCATTACTGGGGGGCTACAAACCCCCTCCCATTGCTCCATAATTTACGCCCATGCATGAATTCAGTCAATATTTCACGTATTTCCCCACACGCACACACCCACACACGTTTACATATGAAATGCCAGCAGCAACTGAACTACCCGTGAGGTTTAACTTACCTCCGCCGAAAGATAAGGATCTAGCCGTCAGGTTGGCAAAAATCCATGTGTGACCGCAAAACTGAAGTAGATTATACAGGAAGAGATAGGCAAGTCTGATGCTGCACCTTACGGGAAAAGATCACGCACAGGAGAAGCATTAGTTCAACCCTCTACGCACAGTGCGTTTTATTTATGGTTCCGAAACCATAAGGGTTTATTGGAATTATTATAAAGGCAAGCTTACTTTTCCCATGTGTATTTAAAGTGGATGTGAAGAATATGATGACAGCGTCCCAAAAATAATTACGTTTAATGCAATTAATGAAGTAAAAACACACTGACGAAGAAATGCCTCTGCTGTGTAATTCTTTCCAGGGAAACAATCAGAACAATTAATGTGTGCAAAACTGCGTAAAATGTGTTGGGGGGGGGGGGACTGCGGAATACAACTGGCAAAGTCATGCAACAGAACGAAAGTAGATATATTTCTTGCACGCCTTATTAATTACACTGTAACTCTGGCGCACGTGTGCTGCTCCATACGAAATGCAGCGTTTGAGGAAATGAAACATTATAGTTAATGCCAAGTACAGTCCTGCATAGCAGCCAGCATAGGCACCGTAACGGTATACACAGTGTACTTCGAGCAGGTATTGCTTACCTCATTTGTTTGCTTTTTGTTTAATCAGATCTGCAATCGATCTGCCTGCGAGGCGTCTCTTGAAAGCCAAGCGTAAAATTGCTAATTTCAGGAAGTTAAAATTTTCGGATACGTTCTGACGTCACTTGCGCTTTTCCTCATTGGAGCCAAACTGCAGTGGCGCCCGTTTGCAGCCTAATATACAGAAGCGATTTAGTTTATTAGTGCAGGTATAGTGTTTGCAGCCCATCCGTTGTAATTATCATATATGTATGCTTTGCATAAATGATCTATTAATCATTATCTGCTGACTAATATTGGTTTTAGAAAGAAAACAAAAGACTAATCTAGAACCATGTGGTTGATTGATACCCCATGCCGATACAATTTCTTTTGATTTTCATTTATTACAGTGATTACATTTATACCGCTGATAATGTACTTCAGGTTTAATTTACAGTCCTATTTTTCTGGGCGTGCAGTGTTTCATAGTCACATATTTTCATAGCGCCAGTTGATTTACAGTGATGTTAAGTACAGATTTGTGTGATCTTTTCCGTCAGAAACATGGAACCGTCAGCTGGTATCCGCCATGTAGGTACTCATCATATCATGAGTTACGGTACTGTTTACGCCGATGATTTGTAGTCAGTATGGAGCTCCTAGCATAAATGATATTTTCCCTGTCCATTTGTTTCTGCTACTGGCAATGGAGAGAGGGATGGGTTCTTTGACGTTTTCTGTCATTCTTGTGACACCTAGTGGAAATCGGAAGCATTTGTTCAAGGTTATTTAAAATATACATCACGATGGTAGAAGTTTGACACAAAGTGGGTACCATGTGATGGATTATTAAAGGGCACTGTCAAAATTCAAATGTATTTTGAATACAACATACGATCAGAAACTTTTTTAAGTGAATAAGAAACCATCGAATAAGAGAACTGTAAGTAGGCCTAGATGAATAAATTACACATTTTTATTTTTTTCCCCCATATATTAAGGTTTAACAGACTGAGAATGAAAATATGAAGCACATTCATTACACTAAATTCATTACACTATGAGAGGAGAGAAGGCAGCTCTGTTGTTTTACTTGTGAAATGTGGATTGGTTTGTCATTGTTATTTGCTAGTTTAGCATGCATTCAATCCAGAGCATCTGCTTTAAATGTGCAGTTACACCCTGATTGTCTTATTCCAGAAACCTGCCGTTCAGACTATGACTCTGTACCTCTCCAGTCCAGCATCTTAGTCTTTATGATGCTACTACTTGCCTTGATTAATTACATGTACAGAGATTGAAAACGTTGCACATTCCTGATATGCCTTTTTTTCCATTTTGTTCACATTCTTATTAAATTTAACTTAATAATTCTTGGTTTTCAGTACATTGCACCATACATTAAATATACCAATCCTAAATCAGGCTGGCACAAGATTGTAACATTGGAGTTAAGCACTGTGGGGAGGGGGGGGTTGAGGTTTCCATCCAGTTTGTGATTATGGGGGGGGGGTAGTATTGAGCAGTTTTCATTATTGGGGGGTTACAACCACCTAGCCACCCCCAGCCCCTATCTCCCAGGATTTATGCCTTTGAGCTGGCGTAGGCAGACATAATTTCATTTTTAATATAAAATGAAAAGCCTTCGATTAAGATTGTCAATAGAAATATTTCTCTTATTTTGGGGGATGGTGCAGTGGTTTGTACTGTCACCTTGCACCTCTGGGACCTGGGTTCGAGCACCCGCCAGGGTTCCGTGTGTGTAGTCTGCATGCTCTCCCGTGTCGTCATGCGGTCTCCCCCCACAGTCCAAAAACATGCTGAGGCTAATTGGAGTTAACAGGTTCCGCATAGTTGTGCATATATGAGTGCCTTGTGACGGGTTGGCAGCCCACCCTGGATTATTTCCTGCCGTGCACCTGTAACCTCTGGGATAGGCTCTGGACCCTC